TTTCTAGAGCAGTATAGAATCACAACAGTTCATTTTCAGCAACTTCAGTTGTCTGCTTTCTTAAATAAGAATGCTCCTATAATTTTACATCCTACTTTAACATTGAATGTGCTAAAATAATCTGTGGAGAATTAGCTCAAATGATTTTCCTAAATGTTTGTCTCAACATACCTATTTTCTGTGCCAAGTAATTGTTATCCATAAATTATATAAACATAAATGCATATGTATGTAAATATGAGTTGTCAAGTGCAAATGTGTAAAAAATCTGTAGTATAAATATATATAATGACAACTATGATTGAAGATATATTATTTACTTTTTTTACAGGTAAAATTTACAAAAATGTGTTTTGCTTTTATATTCTGTCTTGTTATCATGTCTTTGCTGGTGATTGCTGTGTGTCTGTCTTTTTTTTTTTGAAAAATTTAAGTAGACATATTAAAGCTCTTACCCTTACACATTCTGTATTTACCAAATCCAAATGTGTTGAAAGTTTCAACTCTGTTAAATACTTGTGAGCTTCAAGGCTTAGTATTGTGAATCAATAAATGCCAGTTTTAAGATTTCTCGTTACAGAAAATATAATTGAATTCCTTATACTGTGGGGACACGAATGTTGTTAGAAATGCTTTAACAGTTTTTTCATGCCAATAGACCTTAAGTTGCCAATTTCATTCTTTTACAGTCTGTTGCTCTCAAAGACTTTACCTTTGATTTCTCTTTTCATGCTGTAGCTTCTTAAGCATTTGGTGTATACATGTCCTGGTGAGGAAATATAATTGAATACTCAGAAGGCGGTATTGGAGCTTAAGGCCATGGCACTTTGTGTCTAGAGTCTCAAATACTATTTTTCAGACATGTTATTCTTACCTCTGGAGTAAGTTCAAAATTCAGATACCTGATTTAAATATAAATTAAAGTTACTATTTTTCTTAAAGATGTTTATTGAGGCACTCAGAAAAATTTGAATTTCTTAAATAACTGTACTTCTCTTGTTGTGCACTGGGTCTTTAAGCTTGTTGACCTCACATACCTTTTCACCTACATCTACCCATTTTCTTCTCAGTTGTCTTCCCATGGTAATCTTTTAAAAATTACAAAAAAGGGAGAAGGCCCACCCAATTTCCTTTTTTTCCCCTTAATACCCCCCTTTAAACATGAAGGTAACAATATGGAAAACATACTAGTATTATCCACTTTCCTGTAGCCCTTGAACCTTCTTACTCTAACTAACTATGTAAAGAATGTCAAAATAAATTTTATCAAAAAAAAATAAATAAATAAAAAATACAAAAAAACAATTCTTGGCTAACTTAATTTAATTGAGCAAGTGTGTTTCTTGTATCAATGTGATTGTTAACTAGAATTATTACCAATAATATATTTTACATTTGCATATGTATCCAGCAAGGCATGCTCTAAAATATCTTTGAGTGGTGCAGAGAGAGAGAGAAAGTGAGAGAGCAAGTGAGACAGACAGCACTTTTGCACTTCCATCTGCTGTTTTACTTCTCAAATTTCTTGCAATGCTAGGGCCTGGGCCAGGCAGAAACAGAGAACAGAAACTGAATTCAGGACTCCCATATATGTGACGGAAACCCAGTTCCGTGAATCATTACTGCTGCCTCCCAGGGTGCACATTGCAGAAAGCTGTAATCAGGAGCAGAGGCAAAATTGAAACCCAGGCATTCTGATATAAGATGTTGGCATTTCAGCAACCATTTTTTGCCACCACACCAAACACTCACACTGAAGTTTATCTTCAGAAATTTCAAAATGTGCTGTATATCACGAGAAGTTTAAATATGCCTGTATTTTTTCCTGTTGCAGTTGTAACAAATTACCACCAATGTTCTTATTCCAAAGAATGGCAATTTATTCTCTTACAGTTGTAATATGAAGCCCAAAGTGTCCTTGTGGAGATGAGGGTGAAATTGAGCAGGCCTGCATTTTCCCTGAAGGTGCTAGGAAAGCATCTATTCTAGGCTTCCTCCGCTTTGACCTTGACAGCATCATTCCAATCCATGCTTTTATCTCCCCATCTCTTTCTTCACCTGTGTCTCCTTTGGGTCCTCCCACCTTGTGATTATAGTGGGTTCAGTCAAATAATCAACTGTAGCTTTCTCATCTGGAAAATCCTTTATTTAATCATGTCTGAAAAGCCTCCGCGAATAAGGTAACATGCTGATAGATGTGAGGAACAGGTCGTATATTCAGACATTTCTGAGGGAACATGATCCTATTTGCAACAGCACCCATGAGAGTATTTTAATGTTTTGTTCTTTTGAGACATATTTTATTTATTTATTTGAAAGGCAGAGAACAAGAGATACAGGGAGACAGAGAGGAAGAAAGCTCTTCCATCCTATCTCACTTCTCGAATAGCTGTAAAAGATTGAGTTGGCCCCTGCTAAAGCCAAGAGCTTGAAACTTCACCTGGGTCTCCCACTTGAGTGGCAGGAGCCAAAGTACCTGGCCCACCTTCTGCTACCTTCCCAGGCACATCAGCAGGCATGTGCGTCAGGAGCAGAGCAGCCACGACCCAAGTCTGTGCTCTGATGTTGGATGCTAGAGTGGCAATGGCAGCTTAGCCTACTGCAGTAAAAAGCTGGCCTCAATGGTTTTATAATTTATCATTTCATTCACATTACATGCTTAATTTATTAAAATGATTGGCATTTATAATAATATCATAGTAATAAATCTAAACTTTACTTTTTAAAGTTGTACATATCTGCTAGAGGGCAATGTAGCTTTAAAAAATATACAGCTTCTACCTTTAGCTGTGTTTGGATGGTGAAGCTTTATAACACATGTGAAAAATGTTCAAAGAAGGAATTATTGATTGAATGAAACTAACACTGTCATCTTAATCATTTATCACATGCCCTAAAGACAGTTTTAAAACATGATAATTCTTGCTTAAATGAAATTAATATTTGATTTCCAGGCGAAGTATTTAGAACTCTGGTATTAATCTGTTTAATTTATATGTAAAATGTTTATGAACAATTTGAATATTGAAATAAAACAAAGATAATGGTTATCCATAATTCAACTCAATTCATGTTAGTTATAGTCTAAGCATCTTTCGTATATTATGTTTACATAAAATAGTATAGTATAGGCTATAGAATTGTTGTCAACTCGATTTTGCTGATGAAGAAAAGGCTTTAGGTAATCTGAGTGATTCCCCCCAAATCACACAGCTAATAAGTGGCAAAGTCTTCTTTGATGTGCTAAATAGGACCTTGGCAACGCAAAAAAGAATGAATCATTTCCCAAATGAGTTCTGTGTGCTTTAATTTCATGTATAACCTCAATTTAGTGTGTCATCCCTTGCTAGCTTAAAACATCTCATATAAATCTCATTAATTTTGATTTCATTAATTTATGCTTTGTGATAACTTGGAAATGTGGGAATGACATTTATTTTTTTCTGTAAAAAGAGATTATCTAAGAACATACTTTTTAAAAATTTTATTTGTTGAGGGGATAGCAGGGAGGGAGTATATCCATTAACTCACTCCCCAAATGCCTGCAATGGCTGAGGCTGAAAGCAAGATCTGGGCAATTCTAACTTGGGCAATTGGAAACCAATTATTTGAGCCTTAATCTGCTGCCTTGCTGGATCTACATTAACAGGAAGCTGCAATCAGGAGTAAGAAGTGAGAATTGAACATGGATACTCTGATTTGGGACATGGGCACCTAAACACCATCTTTAGCATCTTAAGCATTTAGCCAAATACCTACCACAGAATATATTAATTTTAATGACATCGAATCATTTCTTCAATCTCTACTTGGATTTGTTATATGCATCATCCATCAGTATTCTTACTATCCCGTAGGATAAAGAACAAGGACATTTAGCCTAGCAGTTAGGACATTGGTTAAGATGTCCAAATTCCCCTTTATAGAAGGAATTGATTGCTATCTGTGACTCCTGAATGCAGTTTGTTGCTAATGAAGACCCTTGGAAGCAGTGGTGAAGGTTCAAGAAAGGTTTCCACAACTCACATGAGAGGCTCTGATTGAGATCCTGATCCCCCAGCTTTAGCCTGCTCCAGCTACAGCAGACATTTCAGGAGTGGATCAACAGACAGGAGCTCTATGTCGCTGTCAATTTCTCAATCTCTCAAGGAAAAATAATACTAGCTAACGGAGACAAAGAACATTAGCTACAATAAATCTTAGGATGCTTCATTAATCCTTTTACTCTCTCCAGCAATGGTGGAGGCAAACTTTGTCCCATCTCAAGCTATATACAGAGAAGGAAATGTTCATACATTTTTTCCCCAAATTAAACTTTTATTTAAATGCTATGTTATAAAACAGTTGCTTTATACCAGATATAATTATGCATTTTTGTTTTACAAGTAGTAACACATTTAATCCTTACATTAACCCTTTGGGGTTGATGCCATTAATAATCTTCATGTTACTAATGAGAAAACTGAGGCACAGTTTTGACACAGTTTTGACTGGTGGCACAGAGCTGATCAATTGCTAAATCTGGAATCAAACTCAGGAAGCAACTCCCAATTTAGAATTCAATGATCTTATCTGCTATCAACTCTGTGAAAACCTTTGAATCCAACCTCATTCAGTTGCCATAACAACCTATATACCATAATAATGTCAGTAGTAATAAGGGCTACAGAAGAGAGTTTTAAAGTATGTTTTGCAGGGATGCTATTCAGTCCTAATTCTATGCAAATAATTGTTATTTAGATTTTAAAAGCCCCGAGATGCTTACATGTACTCTATGACTCTTGAAATCCATGCCACAGTTTAATATTCAAGATTCTTGATTAATGATAGTTTTATTTCTTTCTAGTATTTACATGTTTATTTCCTTATTTCAAAATGAAGTCTATTGTGTATATTTAAGGACTACAAAATGATATTACCAAATATATATGAAATAAATACAGTATTATTAATATATATCTCACAGTCATGCAATTTCTACTCTGTGACAATGGCAGATAAAAATGGTAGAATGCCTTGCGATTTTGTGTGTCATCCTTGGTCCGGGATGCTGATAACCTTTTCTGTGTCATTCCAATTTTAGCATATGTGCTGCTGCAGGGAGCACAATGTTATCTTTGCTCAGGGATCTTGTTCATCTTTCTTATGTCATTCCAATTTTAGTATATATGCTGCTGAAGAGAACACCGTGTCATAGCTTTTTAATGAGCGTACATCATGACTAATAGAGGTTTTTGCAACAACAAAGAGAATGAACAAGAACTAGAAGCTTTTGGAGTACTTATTCTTCATCTGAAAAATGAATCACAAAGAAAGGAAAAAGCAGCAGATTCCACAGTCATTTTCTCATCCAAATCATATGCAAATATTAGGGCAACTCACAGTTCATCAAATTCTGCACCACAGTTAAGATTTGGTACAGTCAGTCAGGGAGAGGAGATTTTTACAATTGTTTCTTGTATTCAGCCAGGATAATTGTCAAACTGTGAAAGGCAGTTACATTCCAGATTAACTCCTCTCTCCCTAAAATGTTTTTGTGATTTTCACAACACTTTAGTGTTCCTAAATTCACAGATTTCTTACTGGGACTTTTGGATTTTATAAAATACTCTTGTTATTTTATTGTTCTAACAGCAGTTTTTCTATATGATCTTTCCAAGAAATATATTCATTCTCCTTTTGAAATATGCTTGTCCTCTGGTTGATTTCCTAAGCTCTGATGACATCTCTTTATTTTTAGGCTAAATTCAAGTAATTTGATTGTACTATGTTAAGACCACTAGAATAACAGCATTTCTCACAGAGCATTAGTTTCTTTAACAATGGTTTCTGTAGAGTTGTGAAAAAGATCAACACACTGAATGGAATACTTAACTTATAAAGAAATGATGTTATTTACTCTTGAGATCTACTGGGAAAATACTACGAAGACTAAAATATCTAAAATGAAATGGAAGGGCTTAATTGTATATGAGCACTCATTGATTATATTTTATAGTCTTGTATTTTATGATTATCCTGTTTGCTTATTAAAATTATGAAATTATAATGTTAAAAGTTGTGGCAAAAATAATTAAGTCCAATTTCTCTGCCATGTATACAATGAAACTGAAACCTAAGTAAGTGATTTGCCCTTATCTACAAATTTAAACTCATTGGTGAAAGAAAATGTGTTTTAAAAATTTGTACAGAAAGTTTTGGACCCACATTTATACTTCTGTCATACTTTCAGCTGTTTAAACCATATGGATAAATGTATATGCAGATAACAAGTGGAGATATTTTGTAGGCAATTTGCATATGTTTTGTTGTTGGTTTGAAATGGTACAAAAAAGGGGTACTTTATGTTACAAGTACTTGACACTTATGTGGGAGATCCTGATTGATTTCTGTTCTTCTTGCTTCAACCTGGCTTAGCACTGTGTGCATTTAGCACTGAGTGGCATTTGGGAAGTGAGCCAGCAGATGAAAGATCTCTATATAGGTCTCTTCCTCTTTGTTTTGGCCTTGCAAATAAAATGAAAGTAAGTAAAGATTTTAAAAGGAGAAATGGTGGTTTGTACAGGACATCAGTTAGGATATCCAGATTCCATGTGGAAGTGCCCGGGTTTGGGTCCCAGATCTGCAACCCCAAATTCCAGCTTACTGCTAATGTGCATTCTGGGAAGTGGCAGGTGATAGCTGAAGTAATTGGGTCCTTAAGATGCTTAAATTGATTACTAGTCTCCGTGCTTTGGTCTTGTCTGGCTCTAGCTGTTGTGGGCATTTGCACAGTGAAAAAGTGAATGGAAGATTCATTTCTGTCTTTCTCCATCCCTGCTCTTTTCTTGTGTGTGTGTACATGTATACTTTGAAAAATAATTTAAAACATTAAAAGATGTGAAAAATTAACATATAATGAAAAAACTTAGAGATACAAAAAAAACTTAGAGTCAACTTACTAGCTTCTCTCACAGTTGATCCTATGTTGATAAAATAATAAAACCTGCCTGCCTTGTAATTTTCCTGAATATGCTGAGCTGAACACATAGTGAAAATCTCCATTTCGTAGATTTTTTTTCTCACAATATGTTTTAGATGTCCTGTAAGTTGACTTAGCAGAATTGGTGTTCCCAATTATAAATAGTTCTGTGGTGATTTTAAACATTTATATGCTATAAAACCAATAGTGCGTAGATCATATTGTGATTAATTTACCAAGATAGGGATTATGTGGCACATTTGGAAACCAGCCCGCTAAATCTCTGCTTGGAAAATACAGTCTTTCCAAGTACTTCTTTTCAGATTTTTGTAGCCAGCTTCTATTCTATTTTTTAGTGTACTTTTTTTTTTTTTTTTGGCTAGCGTGGAGGGGTTGGAATTCACATTACTACTCCCTAAGTATACCATCAGTATATTTACCACTCTGCTTTCATGCTTATAATTTTATAAAACATTGAAGGTAGTGTACAGCACTGCACTGATTTTAGCCGAAGGCTTTGAGCTACTCTTCCTCGGCAAAGATTTTATAAATTTCAGGTTTTGACACTGACTAGTGTTTTAAAGTTTCTGGGTGCCTTTGTTAAAGCAAAATGTAGACCAGGCTTAAGAAGCCCTGAACAGACAAAACCTGTTAACTCACACAAACAAGATATAAGTTATTTCATGTGCATCTCCCTGATGATCATAAATAAGTTGCCTTTCAAGAATGCTATAAGTGATCACTTGCTATCAATCCTCTGTCAGTTTGAAACCTGCATATTCGTAACCAATCATCACAGTGTTTCAACCAGCTCCTCATTTTGGCTTTATAAGCCAATCTATACTTAACATTACTACTTAAATTTTTAAGGTTTCCCAATCTCTGAAATAATCTTTTATATGCTCAATAAACTAGTAACATTTAAAATTTGATTTGTTTCTATTTTGGACATTTGTAATATTATTGTTCTTCTCATGTGGACACAGGTCCTAAAAGGTCCTTAACATGAGTATAACTTTTTGGATAAGACCACAAAATCATGGCATTTTAATAAACTTTTCTGTGGTGCAGTATCCTGGTGGCTAAAGTCCTCACCTTGCATGCACCAGGATCCCATATGAGTGCCAGTTCTAATCCTGGTGGCCCCACTTCCCATCCAGCTCCGTGCGTGTGGCCTGGGAAAGCAGTGGAGGACTGCTCAAACCTTTGGGACCCTGTACCCGCATGGGGGAAACCAAGAAGAAGCTCCTGACTCCTGGCTTTGGATCAGCTCAGCTCTGGCCATTGCAGTCACTTGGGGAGTCAATCATCGGACAGAAGATATTCCCCTCTGTCCCTCCTTCTCTTTGTATATCTGAGTTCCCCCTCCAAAAAATCAGGCATTTTAACATTATTATGTTATGGCAAATTATGTATCATGACAATTTCAGGCCTGTTGCACTCAAAATGCTTCCAATATTAATCTTTTGAACAAAATAGAACATGATTGAATAGCTATATGCTTGTTCATATTTGCAAGGGAAGTGAAAGAGGGAATATATTTTTTTTACTTACTTGAAAATATTGGAAATATTTTCACACTTGACACAGTGGTCAAGTTAGCAGGCACTAGACGCAGTGTCAAAAATGTCACTTGAGATGGTCAAATTTCATTTATGAATGTCTGTGTTGTATTCTGGTCCCGCTAGCATTCCAGTTTCCCACTAAATGCATCACCCTGGGAAGCAGTGGTAATGGTTTGGGTACTTGGGTCTCTGTACCCACGTGGACAACTGAAATAATTCGCTAGATTCTGGTTTGTTTGGTCCAGTTTCAGTGAGTGCAGGTATTTTAATGAACCAGCAGATTGGAGATCTCTGTCTCTTTCTGGATACCTTTATCTCTCTGTCTTCCAAATAAATTAAATGAATAAATAATAAATACATTCTAACAGTGTATTGGAAATTAGAATGAAGTAGATTTTTTTTTTAATCTGGAAATATTTCATGCATCACTGACAGGCTTGTCTATCAATGACCCCTTTAAAAATTTCATAATGGGGCCCGGCAGCGTGGCCTAACGGCTAAAGTCCTCGCCTTGAACGCACCGGGATCCCATGTGGACACCGGTTCTAATCCCGGCAGCTCCACTTCCCATCCAGCTCCCTGCTTGTGGCCTGGGAAAGCAGTGGAGGACAGCCCAAAGCTTTGGGACCCTGAACCCGCGTGGGAGACCCAGAAGAGGCTCCTGGCTTCAGATCGGCACAGCTCCGGCCATTGCGCTCACTTGGGGAGTGAATCATCGGACAGAAGATCTTCCTCTTTGTCTCTCCTCCTCTCTGTATATCTGACTTTTTAATAAATAAATAAATCTTTTAAAAAAATTTTCATAATTGTTAGATATACAAAAGTAACCAATTATATTCCTTTGTCCCTGGCCCCGTCCTGGCTATCTCTGGCATTTGAAGGAGGGAACCAGTGTGTGGGAGATCTTTGTGTGTCTGTCTTTCTGCCGCTCCCTTTCTATGCCTGGCATATAATATGGAAGCAAATTTTAAAATGCAAAAGGTTGTTCATTTTGAGCTAATTAACAATTTTCATTTGCTTCACTATAACCAGCAAATTTTTACCCAATAAACATGTTTAATACTACAGGAATTAGCTACTTCATAGACTACATCATATTTTGGTCACTTCCATTACGAATGGTGAGTGTTATAGACCTCATTTCACAACTTGGTAAACTGTTGAATTACTTTATATCTCACAAGATTGCAGTGATCACACTAGGAATTGATCCCCAGTCTTCAGATCTTGAATTATTCGGCTACTTCTTGAGCTAATCTAGAGTTACATTTAGTTTGTCTAAAACCATTTCCCCTGTGAATTCAGAGTGTATTAAAACATTAGATGCATCCAGCTAAATTTGCATGAACTACCCAGGAGAAAAAGCAGTTTTAAGGTTAACAGCATTGTTTTTGTTTGTTGTTGGTTTTTTTTTAGGCTATTTAATTCATTTTCAGAGATTTGGAGGAACAGCCAATGCACTTGAAGCAGATGCTGTCCCAACAGCCTAATGGAAGTATAAATTTGATAACATTATTCTTTTCCCATTTATGATTTTAAAAGAATTAGTGTCTATGAAGCAAAATTGCACAGGAAGCAAGT